CCTGTGGTCCCAGCTACTTGGGAGGCAGAGGCAGGAGAATCGCTTGAGCCCAGGAGTGGGAGGTTGCTGAGAGCTGTGATGCCACAGCTCTCTACCCAGGGTAAGCAAATAGTAAACTTCAAATTATTTATCTATTGTTTTCAATATAACATCTGGCATATATTAAGTAAAGAGGCACATCAAGATAAGCTGAAGGAAAACCAGCCAAAAATTGGAAGAGATAAAGAGGAACTCTAGATACTGGAGTTGTCAGATCCATTCTTACCAAGATCAAAAGAGAAAATATAATACTCAATTATGGCAGAGAACTAGAGCATTTGATGTTTTTAAAAAGATTCTAACAGGTGGTGCCTGTGGCTCAGTGAGTAGGGCACTGGTCCCATATACTGATGGTGGCAGGTTCAAACCTGGCCCCTGCCAAACTGCAACAAAAAACTAGCCGGGCGTTGTGGCAGGCACCCGTAGTCTCAGCTACTCCAGAGGGTGAGGCAAGAGAATTGCTTGAGCCCAAGAGTTTGAGGTTGCTGTGAGCTATGACATTATAGCACTCTACAAGGGTGACAAAGTGAGACTCTGTCTCAAAAAAAAAAAAATCCTAACAAATTATAGAACTGAAAAATATAATAACCAAAACTAGGATTTCAGCAAATGAGACACAACTGAAGACGTAATTGTATACCTAAAGCTAGGTCAAAGGAACATATCTACATTGAAATACAAGAATAGAAATAGAGTTGAGAGAGTAGGAGACATAGAATATAGGAAGCCTGCGGTATGTGACTGGAATCCTGCAAGAGGCAAAAGAACTAAAAATAGAAAATAGAAAAAGACTAGCTGGGCAGGGCTGTGGGTACCTAGTCCCAGCTACTTGGGAGGCTGAGGCAGGAGGATCACTTGAACTCAAAAGTCTGAGGTTGCAGTGAGCTATGACACCAGAGTACTCTACTTAAGGTGACACAATAAGACTCCATCTAAAAAGAAAAAAAAAAAAAAGGAAAAGAAATGGGAGGGATCAATAAGGTCATAATTATAGATCTTATAGAGAGTCAAAAGATATTAAGAACAACTTTTACTAATACATTGGCAAGTGAGATGAAAAATTAGCCTGGCATTATGGCAGGTGCCTGTAATTCCAACTACTCTAGTCTTATTCCTAGAAAAATAAGGCTACCAAAACTGACATAAAAAGAATGAGAATGTGAATAGTCCTCTGTCTGTTAAATTGAGTTTGTAATTAGAAATTTTCTCACAAAGAAAACTCCAGGTCTAAATGTTTTCATAGTGAATTCCACCAGATAATTAAGGAAGAAATAATGCCAGGCTTACAGACAAAAACTCTTCGAACCAAAAAGATTAAACATTTCCCAATGTATATATATATATTTTTTTGATACAGAGTTTCACTTTGTCACCCTTGGTAGAGTACCAATGGCATCATAGCTCACAGCAACCTCAGACTCCTGGTTCAAGCAATTCTCTTGCCTCAGCCTCCCAAGTAGCTGGGACTATAGGTGACTGCCACAACACCAAGCTGTTTTTAGAGATGGTTTCTTACTCTTGTTCAGACTGGCCATGAGCTTAGGCAGTCCACCCACCTTGGCCTCTCAGAGTGCTGGATTACAGGCATGAGCCACTGCACCCCACCTTTTTTTTTTTTTTTTCCCAGACAGGGACTCACCCTGATGCCCTGGGTAAAGTCCCATGGCATCATCATAGCTTGCAGCAACCTCAAGCTCTTGTGCTTAAATAATCCTCTTGAGTAGCTGGGATTACAGGCACCTGCCACAATGCCAGGCTAATTTTTCTATTTTTAGTAGAGACAGAGTCTTTGCTCTTGCTTAGGCTGATCTTGAGCTCTTGAGCTCAAGTAGTCCACCCACCTTAGCCTCTCAGAGTGCTAGGATTACAGGCACAAGCCACTGTACCTGGCCTGACAACATTTTTTTTGAGACAGTCTTGCTCTGTCACCTAGGCTAGAATGGAGTATCATCATCATTGCTCACTACAACCTCAACTCCTGGGTTCAAGCAGTCCTCCTTCCTCAGCCTCTGGAGTAGGTGAGACCACCTACACCCAGCTATTTTTTCCTATTTTTAGTGAGGCTTTGTTCTTGTTTAGGTTGGTCTCGAACTCCTAACTTCAAGCAGTCCTCCCACCTTGGCCTACCAGAGTGCTAGAATTACAAGTGTGAGCCACCATGCTGAATCCTAAACATCACTTTTACTAGGGAAGGTTGAAAGATTTCCTTCTGAGATGAGAATGCTTGTTATCACCATCAACATCCTACAAGTAAAAGATAAAAGAATTAGAAAGGAAAAAGAGTAGTCATTATTCACAGATGACATCATAATATTGAATTTCAAAATCAAATCAAAATAATCTACAGATAAATTATGAGAATTAATAGATTAGCATGATTGCTGGATATAAGGTACAAAACCCAGTCACTTTGTGTGCCAACAATAAATAAAATTTGAACAACAATATACATATATATATATATATATATATTTTTTTTTTTTAGAGTCGGTGTCTCACTTTAGAGACGGTGTGAGGTGTCGTCACAGCTCACAGCAACCTCCAGCTCTTGGGCTTAGGCAACCTCCCAAGTAGCTGGGAGTACAGGCACCTGCCACAATGCCTGGCTGTTTTTTGTTGCAGTTTGGCCGGGCTGGGTTTGAACCTACCACCCTCAGTATATGGGGCTGGCACCCTACTTACTGAGCTACACGCACCGCCCGAAAAATATATTCTTTTATATCAAAATATAACTTGTTCTACTTGCTATCAAGCCTCACTTATAAAGCACAGTAATTAGGACAATCTAGATAGGTAACAAATCCAGAGAGGCCCCAGACAGACCTAAGTACGTGTTGATTCAGGACAAAGGTGGTAAGCTGAGCAGGCAGGGAGAAGAGGGTGTTTCCAGTAAATGGTGCGGTGACAACCAGACACACAGAAAAAAAACAAAAAAACACTAAGCCTGACTTCATACATAACAAGTTGATTTCTGATGGGAATGAAAATCTAGGCGTGAAAGGCAAAATCATAAAGCATCAGGGAGTCAGCATCAGTGACTACAGCCATGGTATCTGGGTAAAGAAAGATTTAAGAGCACTCCTTAAAGAGCAAGATAAATGAAGTTGACTGTATTAAAATCAAAGGTTTCTGTACATCTAAAGGATCGTTAAAAGTGAAAAGACGCACTCCTACATACATACAGTAAAGCAAGGGTCCTCAAACTTTTTAAACAGGGGGCCAGTTCACTGTCCCTCAGACCATTGGAGGGCCAGACTGTGGGCCCCGGGATGAGTGGGCTGCTAAGCAGGACATGCAGGGGCGGCAAAAACACTCGACGGGCTGGATAAATGTCCGAGGCAGCTGCAGTTTGAGGACGCCTGCAGTAAAGCAGTAAGGAAAGGATGAGTGTGGTGGCGCCCAGCTGTAATTCTGCACTCCAGGAGGCTGAGGCAGGTGATTGCTTGAGCTTAGGAGGTTGAGACCATCCTTAGCAAGAGCAAGACCCTGTCTCTACTAAAAATAGAAAAACTAGTTGGGCATTGTGGCAGGTGCCAGGTACTGGGAAGGCTGAGGCAAGGGGATTGCCTGAGCCCAAGAGTTTGAGATTGCTGCAAGATACGACACCATGGTACTCTACACAGCGTGACAGACTGTCTCAAAAAAGAAAAGCAAAGAAAAAGACCATCTAGGCAAGAGAAACTAGGCAAGAGACTTGAGCAAGTTCTTCACAAAAGATGTCCACATGACCAAGAAACAGGAAGGTCTCAATCTTAGGAAAAAAAAATTGAGGAATGCAAATTAAAGCTACAGTGAGCTCACTAAAATAGCTCAAATTTAAAAGATTGATAGGACGGCACCTGTGGTTCAGTGGGTAGAGTGCTGGCTCCATATACCAAGGGTGGCGGATTCGAATCCTGCCCGGATCAAACTGCAACAAAAAAATAGCTGGGTGTTGTGGTGGGTGCCTGTAGTCTCAGCTACTCAGTAGGCTGAGGTAGGAGAATTGCCACTAAGCCCAGGAATTGGAGGTTGCTGTGAGCTGTGATGCCACAGCACTCTACTGAGGGTGACAGAGTAAGACTCTGTGTCTCAAAAAATAATAAAAATAAAAAATAAGAGATTGATAATGCTGGGCAGCGCCTGTGGCTCAGTGGTGGGTAGGGCACCGGCTCCGTGTGCCAAGGGTGGCAGGTTCAAACCTGGCCCCGGCCAAACTGCAACAACAACAAAACTAGCTGGGCATTGTGGTGGGTGCCTGTATTCCTAGCTACTTGAGAGGCTGAGGTGAGAGCATCACCTAAGCCCAAGAGGTAGAGGTTGCTGTGAGCTGTGTGATGCCATGGCACTCTACCAAGGCCAATAAAGTGAGATTATTTCTACAAAAAAAAAAAAAAAAAGATTGATAATGCCAAGTTTTGGCAATGCAACCATGCTGTAAGATGGGAACATAGGCACTATACCCACCAGAGAAGTGTGTGGAGTGTGCCAAGAGCAGTGCTCAGTGCCTCACTGTGCCATAGCGCCCAGAGGAGGGACAGCCTGCATGTCCACTGCATTAGATACACAGCCATTTTGGTCTAGTCCATTGATAGAATATTATGCAGCACTGAAAATGAACAAACCCCTGTACGTGAAACCATCTGAGTGCATCTCACAAACATAATATTGAATTAAGGAGGCTAAGTACAAAAATATGTATACCATATGAGTCCGTTTTTTTTTTTTTTTTGAGATAGGGTCTCATTCTTTTGTGGCCCAGGTTGGAGTGCAGTGGCATAATCATAGCTGATAGCAACCTCAAGCTCCTGGGCGTAAGTGATTCTATTGCCTCTGCCTCCCAAAGGAGCTGGGACTATAGGTGTGCACCACCACTCCTGGCTAATTTTGTTTTTTGCAATTATGGCCAGGGCCAGGCTTGAACCCACCACCCCCAATATATGGGCCTGGCGCCCTACTCCTTGAGCCATGGGCAACACCCATGCCTGGCTAATTTTTTAATATTTTGTAAAGACAAAGTCTCACTATGTTGCTCAGGCTGGTCTCAAACTGGCTTCAAGTGATCCTCCCACCTTAGCCTCCCAAAGTACTGGGACTACAGGTGTGAGCCCCCACACCTATCCTATGATTCCCTATATCTAAAGTTACAGAAACATGGGTAAAACTCAAGTACCATGGCATTCTTTGGCAGTGAAACGTTAAAGGAAGGTAAAGAGTTGGTTTCATAAAACTCAAGCGTGGTCACCTTTGCTGGGGTGTAGTGACAGGAAGGTATAAACCTGGCCTAACACTTACTGAGCACATTAGGTGCTATGCCAAGTATTAGCATGATACTAATGCTCATTCAGAGATGAGGAAACTGAGGAGCACAGACATTAGTAACTTTCCTGGGGTCCCCTGGGTGGCAGGGTTGGAGCCTGGCAGACCAGCTCCAGGCCCTCCCGAGGCCTCACTGTCTCACATGTCCCTTGGGGTAATGATTTCTCCTCTACCTGTAGAGGACAGAGAGACTGATGAGGTAAAAGCACCTAAGGTCCCCTGATGTTAATAGAAACAGGTACATTTGTTAATTTTTTTTTGGAGACAGAGCCTTAAGCTATCCCCCTGGGTAGAGTGCTATGGCATCGCAGCTCACAGCAACCTCCAATGCCTAGGTTCAAGTGAGTCTCCTGCCTCAGCCTCCCAAGTAGCTGGGACCACAGGCGCCTGCCACAACACCCAGCTATTTTTTTGGTTGCAGCTGTCATTGTTTTGGCGGCCCGGGCTGGGTTCAAACCCGCCACCTTTGGTGTATGTGGCTGGCGCCTTAGCCACTTGAGCCACAGGCGCCGAGCTACATTTGTTAATTTTAGTGGAAGCTGCCCAGGGGGTCTTGCTTTCTCTAACTTCTGTTAGATACCCACAAATTAAGCCCCCCAGTCTCATGAGCCCATGTGGTGCTTGCTTGACTGTGACTACAGCAGAAAGGAAGCTTGGAGAGCAGACAGGCCCTCAGTCTGTTCTGATCACAGCTGGGCCTGGTGCCTCCCCTATGTGTCCATCAAGTGACAGAGTGGGGACAACATCTTGGCTGTGTCTCCCCAGCTGTGAGGGGGGTGGTGGAGAGTGCCTGCCTGGGCATCAGTGGAGGCACAGGAAGGGCCAGGGTGCAATCTGGGTTCCCATCCCTCTTTCTGCCCTCCCCTAAGCCTGTAGCCCTGGGCTGTGGGCACCATCCTGCTGTGTCTCCCTCCCTGCCAACCCCTGCCTTATCCCTCCCCAGGGCCACAGATTGTGCTCAGTGTGTATGGACCAGACGTGTTCGGGAACGACGTGGTCCGAGGCTATGGGGCAGTGCATGTGCCCTTCTCACCTGGCCGGTAGGTCCTCACTCTGACCAGGTTCCTGGTCCCCAGCCTCTCTTTCTTTGGGCCATGCTGGCTTGGGACGCAGGTACCATCAGCACGGCTTGTTCTAGGTACAGATAGGACCTCATCTTCTGTGTTGGGTTCAGGCTGTGAATGCTCTGGGGTCCCCAGGGGCCTGGGCAGCTCAGCATGGAGGGTGTGTTTCAGCCTGATTTTGGAAGAAACCCATACAGAGGGTGGCAAGGCTCGTGCTGCCAGCTACACACCAGACGGGGTGGTGTGGACCCTCATGGACTCTGACCTCTGTGAAGCTGGGCTGGGCTGGTGGTGGTCACTGTTGTCTCCCAGTGCTCAGGACTTTCCTAGGCTCAGTGGTGCTCGGGTGTGGTTTGCATTTGCTGCAATGACCCTGACTTGGCTGCGCTGCAGCTGCTCCGGCCTCATCTATGTGTTGCTGCTTATTGCTTGCTAGAGGCTCAGAAACTCTGCACCTCTGTCTGTGGAAACATTTGTTTCAGGCACAAAAGGACCATCCCTATGTTTGTCCCCGAATCTACATCTAAATTGCAGAAGTTTACAAGGTGAGTTTCCCACCCTCACCCCTAGTCCCTCCTGACCTAGAGGAGAAATGGCTGTTGCATTCTGCCCTTTATTATGTGCCCAGTCAAAAGTCGTTGTGTCACATAGAATGGAGGAAAAACTTCTCTGCTGGGGAAACAGGACATATTATGAGGTTAAAAGTAGTAAACATGATACAGCAATATGAGCTAAAACACCATAAAGCAGTAAAGATAATGGGTAGCTTTGCTCAGTCGTTAAGTGCCTCTGAGAGGAGCTGACATTTGAGCAGAGACTAGGGATGAGCAGGCACTTGGAACAGCATGTGCCAGGCCCTGATGAGAGCATGGGCTCTGCACGTTAGGAGCAGCCAGGATGTCAGTATGGCTGGTAAGCAAGAGGGAATATGGGGAGAAGGCAGGGAGGCAGGTGGGAGCTTGGAGGGCCTTGGCTGGGCAACTTGAGGTTTAGCCTGGAAGTGTCTGTTGATACAGCTCAGCTGCAGGTCAGTGAGCTGCGAGGAGATGCAGAACCACTCAGGCTCCTGGGCTGAGCTGGCAAGAGCCCCCTGCCAGCCTGGGCAATATCGGGATGAGACCTGGCCAGGGGCCTGCTGGGCAGAGGGGCAACTTTGAGTCTTAGCGCTGAGGGTGCTGTGCTAAGCTCTGAGGCCTGTGGAGGGGAGGGACAAGTGTTTCTGCACTGGCCTTAACCTAGAATCCCCTCTGGGAGGGGAGGCTACCATGTGGAAAGAGACTTCTTTGCCACCTGGAGGTGACAGCATCCAACCCCCAGGGCTATCAGGGATGCAGTGGGGCAGTGCATGTCTGGGGGCTTTGACAGTCTATGTGGCTGTCCTGGCAAAGATGTTCCCATTCCGTGAGCCTGTAGGGGAGAGCTCACTGAAGCCACAGTCCCTCACCATCAGAGTTAGGCCCGTGGCTTGCAAAACAGCCAGGTTTGGGCCCATGCGTGTGCTCAGCCCAGGGGCCGTCGCCAGGTCTTTGGAGGGGCCTTGTTCAGGCAAGGCAGCATCTGGTTAGTGAAAGCAGTTTGACTGGCAAACTCTTCCTGGATGTGGTATCCATAAAGACTCCCTGATGAGGCAGAGACCTGGGGGCATCTCGACTCCCCTGTCCCTCCCAGCACCCTCCAGGGACTCCCTGTTTACTCTCCCAGTCCATCCATCCTCAGCCTAACGGGCCTGCCCATGACACACTCTGTCTCCATATTAGTTTCCAGTAGCTGCAACCAAATACCACAGACTTGGTGGCTTACATCTGAAACTTCGAAACAACAGAAATTTATTTTCTCACAATTTTTTTTTTGAAGGACATTAGTCCAAAATCCATATCACTGGGCCAAAATCAGGCATTGGCAGGGCCACATCCCTTCCCCAGCTGCTTCCAGAGTCTGGTGGCTGGTGGCCTCATCACCCAGCCTCTGCCTCCAGGTCACATGGCTACCTTCTCTGTGTTGTCAGATCTCCCGCCTCTCCCTTTTTGTAAGGACACGTGATGGCTTTTGGGGCTCACCTGGATAATCCAGGCCGTGTCCCCAGCCTCCTTGGCTTCATGACACCTGCAAAGACCTTTTTTCTAGATCAGCGGTTCTCAACCTGTGGGCGTGACCCATAGAAACTGTATTAAAGGGTTACGGCATTAGGAAGGTTGAGAACCACTGCTCTAGATGAAGTCACATTCATAGTTCCCAAGGACTAGGACCTGACACAGTAGCAAAAATGGTGTTCCTAAAACACAACTTAGGCCGTGCCTTCCCCTGCCCTGGCACATGCCCTTGCCGTTAGGATTAACTTCAACTGTGCCTGCTTTCCGTCTGCCTCAGTTTCTCCAGCCCACTAGGTCCTTCCTGCCCAGCCCCCTGCCTGGATCATTCTCCCCTGCCCTCAGGGTCGGCCTCCCCTCACCCACCCTGTTGGGCAGGCTGCCCTGGTGGTGAGTGGCTGAGAGGCAGAAGTGCAGTGAGGATGGCAACTCTGTGTGTTAGCACTTGTGATCTGTCCGCTGGAATTTTTCCAGTGCCGCAGTCCTCACGTAGCCACCATGAGGTGGGCTGAAGGAGCCTTGCCCTAGGACAGAGAAACAGGAGCAGAGGCTGTGGCCCACCTACTGGGCAGCCTCTTTCCTCACTGTGCTGCCCAGGCCCAGCTGAGAGCCCGCCTCTCCCCTGCCCTCCTCACTCATCACCCCTCCCTTGGCGGGGTAGCACTGGGGTGGGAATTGGTGCCAGTCTGCTAAGGCTCAAGCCAGGGTGGCCCTTGTCAGCAGGAAGGGCTGGGCTGTGGCTTGGACGGCCATGTGCTGTCACTGCTACCTCTAGGACCCTCACAGGTTGGTGTCCCAGGAGCTGTGGAGCAGAGGTGGCGCTGGTCTAACCTGCGAGCCACCCCCCACCCCCAAGGCTGCGGGACCCATCCGGCTGGGAATAGTGCTCCTTGTTTCCGGCTCAAATGGGTGTGTCGAGCCTGGCTCAGCTGGTGGGGGGGCTGTTCTAGGCCCCCCAGGTTTGGGCTGACTTAAGCAGGGCTGCCTGTGGAGTCCAACAAGTGTCTGTCACTGCAGAGCATCCTGGGGCCACTGCCTACATAGGAAGGGTAATGTTTTATATGGCAGTTGACAGAGTGCCTTCACCTCACAGCCCCACGGGTAGGTGCTATTATTATCCCCACTTGACAGTTGGCAAGGCTGAGATTCAGAAATGGGAAGTGACATGTCCTGGATCCCACGCTGCTAAGAGGAAAAGCTGGGGAGCCCAGACCTGGCCCCTCTGCCACCCTACGGATTCTTGAGCCTCCTTCCCTGAAGAGACTCCCTTCCCCCACTGCAGCTGCTTATCACCTTGCTGGGTTTTCTGTCTGGGTTCAGGCTGCACCCCACCCAGCCCCAAATCTCCCTCAGCTTTCAGCCCTTAGTGAATCAAACCTGTGGGAAACTAGGATGGAAAAGCAGGACAGCCCTGCCAAGGAGACGGGAGAGAGGGGGTGGGCCTGCTGGGCCGCCTCTGGCCATGTAGCTCAGACAAGGGGCACTAGCACTTCAGTGCCCACCTCATCTTTCAGGTGGCCTCAGGAAGGCTCTGCCCAGGGCTGGGCCCCTAGAGGGGGGATGTGGGTCTGTGAAGCAAGAAGAGCCACGTCAGGGTCTGAGGCTGCAGCATGGGGCCCTGCTCACCCATGTTCTCCTGTGTTCTCAGCTGGTTCATGGGACGGCGTCCCGAGTACAGAGACCCCAAGGTGGTGGCTCAGGGTGAAGGCCGGGAAGGTAAAACATGGTGTCCCTGCCCCACGTGCATGTTGGAGCCTGGGTGGGACTAGTGGGCCCAGTGCCCAGGGACCTGCCAGGGACTTTCCCAGATGAGGGCCTGGTGGGAGAACAGAGGGTTTGCCATGTCTCTCCTCTCTGCTTCAGCCATGAGGGACACAGGTCAGGCCCTGTCGTCCTCACTTTACAGAAGAGGATGCTGAGGCTGAGAGTCCCAAAGCAGCAGGGTCTGTATGCACAGCTGAGCTGGGCTGACACTGACCTTCTGTTCCCAGTGACCCGTGTCCGCTCTCAGGGCTTTGTCACCCTCCTTTTCAACGTGGTGACCAAGGACATGAGGAAGCTGGGCTACTACACTGGGCCTGCAGACACACACAGCATCCCGGTGCCCAGCGTGCCCCAGGGTGCCACTTGCTGAAGGCATCATTCCCCCTGCTCCACCCTACTTCTGGCTGGGCAGCACTCGCTGTCTTTCTGGAGGTGGGGGCTCGGAGGACAGAACAGTTTTATAATAAAGTTACATTTTCAGAATCCTCAGGCCTGTGGCTGCCTTCTGTCCCATTTAGCACCTTCCCAATGAGAGCAGGCCACTGGGGCTATAGGCTTTGCTGTCTCAGCCTCCAAGACCTGCTTGTTCCTCCACCCCTGCAGGGGCACTGTGTGGGTGGGAGCAGCTGGGACGTAAGCTCTGACGTAACCTGGCTCTCCTGCTCGCAGCTGTGTGACATTTTTGCACCTTAACACACCCATCCCTGAACCAGACACTGCACCCAAACCAGGGACTTCAGGCTTCAGTAGGATCACTTGTTCAGTGCCTGGCACCAGTCCTCCAGCTTCTCCATGTCCACCACCACTGCCCTTGACAGGAAGGAGAGAATCCTGTCAGAAGAGCTGGATGGTGAGGCATCCTGGGGACTTCAGACCCCAGCTTGCCTGATGCCTGACCCCCTTGCAGTCCAAGGCCAGGGGGTGGAAACCTGGCAGGGTGGGGGCTGCTGGTTGGAACCGAGCTTTCTAGCAAGCCCCACAGCCCAACACCCTGGCCTCTGAAGTGGTGTTGGCCCCTCTGGGAGCGGAGTCCTTTCATCAACACTGTGGGAGGCCCACAGCTGGACCTTCTCACCTGCTCTATGCAAAGGCCCTGCCATGTCCCTGGTCACGTCAGGTGAGCTCTCCATGCCCCACCACAGAACTTTCCTCAGCATACATGGTGCCCTGGCCTGGATACTATCCTCATGGAATTCAAGGGAAGCCATGATACGGCATGGCTGGCTCTAAGCTTCTGCCTGAAGGCCAGCGACCTGACCACTACATGCTGCCCTGTGAGTCATGGAACTTGCCCTTAGACCATCCAAAGTGAATCTGTCCTTTTTTTTTTTTTTTTTTTTGCAGTTTTTGGTTGGGCTGGGTTTGAACCTGGCATATGGAGCCGGCAACCTACTCCTTTGAGCCACAGGCGCCGCCCTCTTCTGCCTCTTTTTTTGAGACAGTCTTGGTCGGGCACAGTGGCTCACGCCTATAATCCTAGCACTCTGGGAGGCTGAAGTGGGTGAATTGCTTGAGCTCAGGAGTTCAAGACCAGCCTAAGCAAAAGCAAGACCCTTGTCTCTACTAAAAATAGAAAAACTGAGGCGACAGCTTGAGCCTCTGTCTCAAAAAAAAAAAAAAAAAAAAAAAGCCAGGTGAAGTGGCTCACGCCTGTAATCCTAGCAATTTGGGAGGCCAAGGTGGGTAGACTGCCTGAGCTTACAAGTTCAAGACTAGCCTGAGCTAGAGGGAGACCCCGTCTCTAAAAATAGCTGAGCATTGTAGTGGGCACCTGTAGTCCCAGCTATTTGGGAGGCTGAGGCAAGAGGATCACTTGAACCCAAGAGTTTGAGGTTGCTGTGAGCTAAGATGCATGGCACTCTACTGAGGGTAAGCAAGTGAGGCTCTGTCTCAAAAAAAAAAAAGTCTCAGTTTGTTGCCCTCTGATGAGTCCTGTGACATCATAGCTCACAGCAACCTCAAACTCTTGGGTTTAAACAGTTCTCTTGCCTCAGCCTCCCAAGTCGCTGGGACTACAGGCACCCACCATACACCCAGCTATTTTTTTTAGAGATGGGGGTCTTGCTATGGCTCAGGCCGGTCTCAAACTCATAAATTCAGACCCACCTCGGCCTCTCAGAGTGCTGGGATTACAGGTGTGAGCCACTGCGCCCAGCGGTCTTCTGCCTTTTATCTTGCTTTTAGGGCACTCCCATCCTGTGTCTAAATCACTGTGCATTCTGGAACTCCTGGTCATCAGCAAATTCCTTATGATTCTGACCACTTTCTCTGGCCTTACTGAAACCGCCTCTGCCCCTCGCAGCCCTCTTAAAGCAGTATTTTACCTCCCACACCCCATGGACTATGGGCTGGGAGATGCCCTTGCCCCACCATTACTGTTTCTAGAACCCTTCTCCTTCTTCCCACCCAGCCTCCGGCAGCCCAAGTCATCAGATCATCCCCTCGATCAACATCCCCCACAGCCCTGCCTGACCACCCTGCTCACCATCTTGCTCCAGCTGTTCTTGGCAACACACTGTCCAAGCCATAGCTTCAGCTCACCCTTCTAAGAGCTCAGCCTCTTCCTCAACCTCTCACCTTCAACAATCTTGACCTTAACACCTTACCATCCATTCCTATGGCCTACTGCACTTCCTGTTCTGGTGACTGCGCTGCCTCCAAGATCTGGACCCACGTGTACCTCCCTCAACCCAGCCCTTCCCCATACCGCAGAGAGGCCCTTCCCACTCAGTGGTGCCCCTCTCTCTCTAGGTGCCTCGTTCCACCATCCTGGAATTCCTGGCCATCACGTCCACACACTGGCTGGTATACATCCTGGGCACCCAGGCCCTGCTTGCCTTTACACCCACCTGGCAGAACCTCAGCCCTCCCCTCAGCTTCCCACTGAGTACTAGGGCCTGCATACTGGCCAAGTCTCAGTTCAACACACTGTGCTTGCTGACACTACTCCCTCCTGCCTTCTCTTGGCCAGCCCTATCACACCCTGCCCCTCAGCTGAACACCTCCCTGTGGAGACATAGTGCTCTCTGGCTTCTCACAGGTGCTGAGCCCACGGGCTTCCACCTCCATCTTGAGTCTTCCTCCTCCACACAACCACTCTCGCCAGCCTCCACCATGCCCTGGTGTTACAGGACAACTCCAAAACGCAAAAGCCCTGCATCCCCACATGCCATTCCAGTCCTCTGCCTCTTTCCACATCCTCCCCCACCAAGGCTACTGGCCGCCTTCCCCATCACTATCCTGAAACTTCTAGCCCATCACGGCCATGTTTAAGCTTGGGCCACGTTAGTGTGGCCTGTCAGTGGCTTGGATGTGGGTGGGTTGGTCACCCTCTCCCCAATGTTTAATTGTCAAATGTTTTTTGTTTTTAAAAATTATTATTATTTTGATACAGAGTCTCACTATGTTGCCCTTGGTAGAGTGCCATGGTGTCATAGCTCACAGCAACCTCAAACTCCTGAGCTTAAGTGATTCTCTGTTCTCAGCCTCCCAGGTAGCAGGGACTACAGGTGCCTGCCACAACACCTGGCTATTTTTAGAGATGAAATCTCACTGTTGCTCAGGCTGGTCTCAAACTCCTGAGCTCAAGAGATCCACACACTTTGGCCTCTCAGAGTGTTAGGATTACAGGCGTGAGCCACTGCACCTGGCCCTGTCCAATTTTTTTCAGTGTTAAGATACTTAAACATGGAAAAGTTGAGGTAATTTCACAGTGGAGTCTGCCTTCACCACTTTGCTATTTAGCATTTTCACAGCGATCCCACTATGCATCCCTTCCTCCACCCATCTTGTTATTAGAGCATTTCAAAGTGAACCACAGACATCAGGACAGCACCTTCTGTGTATTTCAGCAGTTAACAGCTAGAATTCTGTCTGTAGTTACTGCTTTCTTTAGAAGGGACATCTACATAGTGCATCACTTAAGTACTATGTGCTGAGTTTTGAGGAATGCACAGAACATCACCAATGATGCAGAAGGCTCCTCATACTCCTGCCCAGTCAAGACAGGGGTCGAGCAGTGAGCTTAGGAGGCCAAAGGGATGTGTGTGACTGGGGGTGGAGAGTGGGCAATCGGGACATACAGCCTCCATGTCCACCCTCATTTGTTGTCCATGCTGTCATCTACTGCCACAAAGCTGTTATTCACTGGACTATTTCCTTTTTCTCCTTGGACATGCCATAAAACTGTATTTCCCAAGCTCCTGCATCTGCTGGCTCATGTGTGGTGTCTCACTCAATCTCAACGCCTGTAATCTTAGCACTCTGGAAAGCCAAGGCAGGTGGGTTGTCTGAGCAGGAGAGAGACCCTGTCTCTAAAACTAGCCAGGCATTGTGGCAGGTGCCTATAGTCCCAGCTACCTGGGAGGCTGAGACAAGAGGATCGTTTGAGCCCAAGGGTATGAGGTTGCTGTGAGTTGTGACGCCACAGCACTCTCTACTCAGGGCGAGAAAGTGAGGCAGCACCACCAGAGTGAGGCAGCACCACCAGGGACAAGCTGAGATCTGAGTCCCAGCTTGGAGGAGAGCAGCCAAGAACACCACCACCGGGCTTTCTGTGAGTGAGAAGTCACACTTTCATTATGTTCAGCCATTAAAAGTCTGTGGTTATTTGTTCCCATGTAGTATATTCTATTCTAACTGAAAATGGAAATTGGTACCAGAAGTGGGTTTCTGCTATAACCAAAACAAAAGCACACAAATGTATGTGGCACTGGCTTAGCAGTTGTATGACAGGCAGGAGGAATCCACATCATGGACCAAACATCTGGGAGTCTGTATCGTGCAAGAACAAGACATTAGCTGAGACTCCAGTGCCAAGTGGGGAGCTGGCTATGTGCCTGCTCCCCAGCAGCTCTAGGGCACAGCAACAGACATGGGACTGCAGTGTGAACTGGCTATTGTTCACTGCATTGTGGAAAGTTCTCAGTCAAAAGGAGATCAGGGAAGCACTGGCAGTTTGCAAGCAGAAAGGTAACAAACAGAATCTAAAAAAATTTTAGCATTAAAAGGTTGGGGAGGTAGACTGTTTCTAGAACTCAAATGAGAAGGGATTGAAAATGCTTTGAGCAATAAAGGCATAACAAAACTTCTCATATGAACATAGCAACTCAGCCTTTTGCTAAATACAGGGTTAAGGGGGTGGTGCCCCCCGCCTCATCATGATTCCAGATGGCTTCTTGACGCTCACAGAATGAGAGAAGTACAAAGTAAGGCAGCAAGGAAATAAGGCAGTTTTATGTCTAAGCCAAGAATTTTACATGTGCTTCTGTCATCAGTAGCTGTGTAACAAACGGTCCCGAAATTCTGCAGTTTAACCATCTATCATCCCTCATGATTTAGGAGGAACCGGGCTCAGGTGGGTGGTTCTGCTCCATATGCTGTCGGCTGGGGCTGACTATTGGAGAAGGCTTACTTGTACGGGTGACAGTTGTCTGGGAGCTCTGCTGGGGCTCCTGACCAGAGCACTTCAGGTCCCCCCACAGGACCTCTCCACATGTTTGACCTCACAGCATGGCAGCTGCATTGCCAGCAGGACACGCGATGGGACGAGCCCCTGCTAGCAACATGCCTGCTGACGTCTCATTGGCCCCATCCAGTGGGGGTGCACACGGGGAGAAAAGGTCCACCGGGGTCACCAAAGGAACACTCTGTTATAAACAGAAGTCCTTATTAATCCTATTATACAGTAACCAAAGTTACTGTATGCGGAAGTACTGAGGCCAGTGGATTGCCCATGTTGTGAGGGAATTGTGCTTCCAGAGGGTCCATAAGCCTCGATTGAAACCCCTGACTAGCTCAAGACTCAGTCTCGAACCACCCCTGTGCAGCAGGAGCCAGGCCATCCCCAAGCAGAGCATTCTCTCCCCCACTCATGGTCACAGACAGGGACACAAGAAGGGCTGGGCCACCTACAGAGGGCAGAGCCTGGGGCAGGACAACCTCACAATATGTGCTGCTGGGTTCCAGCACTGCCAAGGACCAACTACTGCCAGGAGCATTTCACTCTGCTTTTCCCAGGGGAGACTACTCCCGTGGGAGGCAGCATGGATATGGGGTCTTTCTTCTCTCCAGGCTACGTTTTCCTTGCAGGAGGCTCTATACTCCATAGAGACCCTGAACTTCTGGGTGCAGAGAGAGGACAGGACCTTACCGTCTGTGAGGGGAGGAGCGCAATTATTTGGCGGCCAGAGGGCCAGCTGTGGCAGTGTCTGACAGTGTGTTCGCACCAATCTCACTTCTCATTCCCCTGGCCACAAGGGAAGCCTGCACTCCCCCATTCCTGAGCAAGTGGACAGGGCCAAGGGCCTGACCCTGGCATTGGAACACAGGTGGCAACCATGTAGTTCCAGGCCTGGCTCATCCCCCACCTTCCCCTTCACAGCACCCCTCAGGGTGATCTGTCAAAGACGCATGCAGTTCCTCTGAAAGGGACTGGGTCCCTCAGTCACTGATGTGAGAAACAAATGTGTTAAGCCACTGAAGCTCGCAGACCTGTGCCTATAGTGCTGCCCAGAGCATCCCACACTCTCGTTCTCCTGTCGCCTGCATTGAACATAGCACCCTTTGCTCTAGCCCTTGACCTCTGAGTTGAGCTTATCTTTTGTCCTTGGTGACCCTGGGAGCCAGGCGCCCACATGGAGCAGTTGTCACAGCTGGCCTCCTCCCAGGCTGCCCCTCAGGACCTCTCTGCCCACGCTCCCATCACCATCTCCCCAGCTGCCCCTCCTTGCCTTGCGTACCCCCGTCCTCCAGCTGCCACTGTCCTCTCATCAGAGGCTCTGAGGGGACACAGACCCTTTGTGCCAGCCAGCTGTCATCACAATGAAGCTGCATAGCAGGACACCCAAGTATTAGTGCCTCCAACACGCACTTCCCCTCAGGAACCCACAGCTGGCGGCAGCTCTCTCCACATGCCCCGGGGCCCCAGCTGCCAGGCGGCAACTTCTCCTGGAGCAGCACCTCTGTGGCCTTGGCACAGGCACACTGCTGCTTCCACCTTGCTCAAAGCAGAAGGGGTCAAGGACTGCAGCCAACACTGACTCCAGCACGTTGCGCCGACACCACCACAGAGCCTGGCACAGGCAGCCTCCAGCCTCTCCCTGAGGTTCAGCATGAGCACCAGGCCAGTGGCCACGTTAATGGCAGGCCAAGTTCCTGCATTGTCCCACCCCTCTGCTGTGGCACAGTGGGGTAAAAGATGAGGCGAGGGAAGGACACACCCAGAAACTGCATCATGATACAAATGATAAATTATATTTATACAGTAAATAAGTATCAACAGTCAACACAAGTTCAGAACCAGCTGCCGGCCCCAGTGACTTCCTCCCTTGCGGTGCCGGTCAGGAGGGAACACAATGGCAGTGGCCAGTGGCTTCATGATCAGTGCAGCAGGCAACAGGGACGACGTGCACTCAGGATGGCCTGTGCTAGGACCAGGGAGCGGGGCTGTCATGGTGGGGCCTTGAAGTCTCATTAGGAAGAGTGCTTGTCTGTTACAAAAGAATCACTGACCCCAAGAAGTCAAGTCTGGTCTGCTGACCTGTAAGGCTGGTCCAGGCCCTGCACCATTGGAGGGAAAGCACCTACGTGGGCGAGCACCCTGATCCCACACCCCACCGGGCCCCCGCCTTCCTCTGGCAGCAGCCTTCCTGCACCTTCCTGCATCCTCTGGTTCTGGTGGAGGAGTGGCTCCTGGGGCCAGAGAGGACAGCCTTGGGGACATCACAGGTAGTCAATCTTCACTCAGACCACGCATGTCCTCCTGGCATCCCAGAGACTATTTTTAAGTCTTAAATTTCCCAGTGCCAGTGTTAAGGGTCAGATCTCCTTCTGGAATTGGAGAGGGGCTGGCAGGTGGTCGGCTGCCCTTGGAGCTGAAGGTGAGAAGTCCACACAGTGGAAAAGGAGCCAGAAATGCCCAGTAGGCAAGCTACCTAGACACAGGGTGGGGACCGTCTCTTCCCTGGGGACTAACAAGTCTTCTCTGGCCTTCGTGACTTAATACTTTTTTTTCAGTGGTGGGTGGGATGAGAACAGTAGGAGGTTGGGTAAAGGAGGTAATATTAGTGCATGTTTGTTAAAAAAAAAAATCTATCTCTTGTGAGAATGACTTTTTTCTACATCTCCAAAATGAGAAATGACTATTTTTAAGTCTGCAATTTAAAAATAACGTCTAGAATTAGCAGGTAGGTGGATCAGGGCCAGCCCTGGTCCCTCACCCCTCGTCTCAGCCTGGGGACTGCTCCCCAGGGAGCTGCAGACATAGAAGCAGCATCCCCCCACCCTTGAGACAAATGCCCTTTCCACATTATCCCCATCTTTAACCTGAGTGTGGATTAAGACAGGACAGCACAGACACGCAAGGTTAAAGATGTTTCTTCTATTTCAGATTTCTGTTATAAACAGAAGTCCTTGTTAATCCCTGCATGCCTTTAATTAACAAAAGGAATTAGTTGATAAAAATTTGTGAGTCACGTTCATACGTTAGATTTTTATCTTTAAATGCTGAAGATGTTGGTGTATAAGTAAGAAAAACAGCCTCTCTCTCAGGATCTAGCCAAAAAGGCTGAAGTCAATCAGTTTAGTAATTCATCAAAAAAGGGAGTTAAAGAAAGGAAAAGGCAGCTGGAGGCTAAGACTTTTTGTTGCTGTTGTAGTTTTTTTTTTTTTTAAATAAACATCATCTTTTATGTGTAATCAAATTCCCATATTTTTTCCTATAAAGAATTTGCTTTAGTTTTTCCATAAGGCATTTTTTCTTGTCATCCAAACATCTTTTTAAACTTTTCTTAGAGTTAAAACCATAAATAAAAGGATTTAAACCACTAAAATGATGTGTGCTAATATCTTAATTCAGCCAGACCTGGTAAATTCTATCAAAACTAGACAGTTAAATAAGAACCACGTTATAAAAATATTAGCCAAAAAAAGACTATTAGATAATTCTGCAAACTCAAATATGAAACTGTACTAAACAAAATATGTGCAAACGTATACAAGCATAAAGCCACGTGGCAGGGTTATGCTCAGATTAGTTTAAAGCTCACTCTAGTGGATTTAATTCAAGAGTTGTCCACGGTGGTGTCGTTTACTTTGAACTCACACACGAGTCAAAGAAAAATAAAATATGCACAACCACGTCCCCAAACGGTCAGTGTTTCACGGAGCCAGTGCTTCACACCATCCACACTGGGACTGCTGGGGCATCCCTAGGGCTGGGGCAAGGGCCACACTGACAACTCTGCCTCCTCACCAAGGCCTCAGAGGAGCCCTGAGAGGACCTGACGCTTGGGAGGAGGTGGTAAGAGCAGGCCAGGCTGGGGCAGGTGAGTGGGCCTGTTTCAGAAGGCTTGTGCGCTACTCTTAACTCTGAGTGTCAGGGCTGTAAAGACAACTCTGTTATCAGGAAGCTGGAACTGAAAGGCCCTAACACCTCCCACCCCAAACGCTCAGGCCCGTCCCACAAACCAGGACCCCTGCTCGGCATCCTCTAGCACAATTGCCCTGGCGCCTGCTCAGGGGTGGGTCCCAGGCCCAGGGCACTAGAGAAGGAAAGGGTTGGTTGTGCCAGCGGCCTGAGCTGCCGATGGGGGGATGCCCACACTGCCCACCATGTTCATTGTTGTCAGAGAAGAACCGCTGGCCCCCAGAGCTGGATGTGGGGCCATGGATGTCACGGAGGCCATAGCCATGGGCTCCACCCCAGGGCCAGGCCCAAAGGATGTGCTGGTCCCTAGGACTGGACTCCCCCGCAGCTGATTCAGCGTCAGCGGCTGGGGCTGGTTCACCTGGAAGGGGTTGACAGGGGCTGAGGTGGCAGCTGCACCTGAGGAGAGAGCAGGAAGGGGGGGGCAGAGGCTCAGCGCTCAAGGTAGGGCCATAGTTTCCCACCACAGATGCAGCTTTCTGAACTCCAGGGCAGAGACTGTGTGTTCTGATCTCTGCTGTGCCCTCAGAGCCCTCAAAAATTTAGTAATTCACCAAAAAAGGGAGTCAAAGGAAAAGGCAAATGGAGCCTAGAATTTTTATACTTTCCTCCAAAGGAGGGGGTCCTGGTAGCCGCCCCCTCCCCCGAACTGGCCACTCCCTTGAGGGCCTCCCTGTGTGGGTACCCTGGGCAGTTCTGCCTGGCCATCTCAACTATGAGGAGAGGGGCTGTCTCCTGGCCACCCTCCTCCTTCCCTTCACTGGATACCCACAAGGCCTGGTGAGGGTCAAAGTGCTGGTCTTGGGGCTCATGGCCAACTCCACTCCTTCCTGGCCATGGATGGCATGTGGGAAGCCATGGGACACCCCCCTGCCGCCTGCCACACACCCATTCTCAAACAAAACAAGCAGCTGGATGACAGTGAGGATGCATGCCTACCTGGAGCCAGAAAGGGATTGAGGGACTGGGCTGGTGGGGCAGGTCTGGTCACCAGTGAGTCCAAGTTCACCAGGGCTGCGTTGGGGCCCAAGAAGGACTCAGGTGTTTTCCGGGCACTGCTGGGCTTGCTTGAGGCAACAGTCAGGGGTTGAGACTCAAAGGGGTCAGGGCTTGTGGTTCCATTGTTTTGGGATGGAATAGAAGCCATAGATTCTGCTATAAAACAAGGACACACACGTGGTGAGCGTGGGGCATGGGACCAGGCATGGAGGGGCAGGTGAGGCTGTTCTTCGGCCTGCAGAGAGACATGTGGAATCCCTTTTTTTGAGACAGAGTCTCACTTTGTTGCCCTCGGTAGAGTACCATGGCATCATAGCTCATAGCAACCTCAAAGTCTTGGGCTCAAGTGATCCTCTTACCTTAGGCTCTCAAGTAGCTGGGACTACAGGTGCCTGCCACAACATGTGGCTATTTTTAGAGATGAGGTCTTGCTCTTGCTCAGGGTGGTCTCGAACTCCTGAGCTCAGGCAATCCACCTGCCTTGACCTCCTAGAGTGCTAGAATCATAGGTGTGAGCCACCACACCTGGCTTTTTTTTTTTTTTAGTCTTAGTCACCCTTGGTAGAGTACTGTGACATCTTAGCTCACAGCAACCTCAAACTTTTCAATTTAAGTGATTCTCTTGTCTCAGCCTCCCAAGTGGTTGGGACTACAGGTGCCTGCCACAACACCTGGCTATTTTTTTTTTAGAGATGGGGTCTGGCCCTGGTTCAGGTTGGTCTCGAACTTGTGAGCTCAGGTAATCCACCTGTCTCACCCTCTTAGAATGCCAGGATTACAGGCATGAGCCACTGCTCTTGGCTTTTGTTTCTTTCTTTTTTAATGCAGCAACAGACTGTGGCTGGGAGACCCTGGGCTGAGGAGGTGGAAGTGGAGATGGTGGTCCAGACTGGGGCGTGGGGGTGGAGGTGGTGGTCCAGACTGGGGAGTGGAGGTGGTGGTCCAGACTGGGGGATGGAAGTGGTGGTGGTGGTCCAGATGTGGGGTGGAGATGCAGGAAGTGGTCCAGACTGGAGGGTGGAGACTGAAGTGGTGGTCTAGACTTGGGGTGGAGGTGAAGGTGGTGGTCCAGACTAGGGGGTGGAGATTGAGGTGGTGGTCTAGACTTGGGGTGGAGGTGGTGGTCCAGACTGGGGGGGTGGAGGTGGAGGTCCAGACTGGGGGGTGATGGTGTGGGTCAGAGACTGAACTACTGTGCTCAAAGGCAGGGCTTACTGTCAATGTGTGAATTTCTAGCACTGTAAGCTTCAGGTTCCCAGGATCAAAATACAATGAAAATGCATGAAGCTGGTCAGTGTGAAAGCTGTTTGTGTCTACAACAGCTGAGCTGGTCAAATACACAGAATATTGTGGAGACCACCAGCACCTTTACATACCTGATTTTTTTGAAGTTCGGAGGTTGTCAAATTCAGAAAAATCGTCTTTAACTGTACCATTCAGATTACTGAAGAGCTCCAAGGACCCTGGTGGACACAGAGGCCAGTGACTGCAGGCACATGGCACATGCCCCAGGCTTGGCCAGCAACAGGGCCTTTCCTCTCCCACCACCCCCCTCACAGGGAAGAACTCTGAGAGCCAAAGAGGGCAAGACAGGCCCAGGTCACCCAGTGCACAACATGCAGTGCCCACGCCACTGCTTCTGCCACCCCCACCCCAAACAGAAGGAGATTCATGGAGTCAGGTCAGGACACCAGGAGATGTCATCTGAAGGAGTGCCTGGGGGCCAGCCTTCCCAGGACCACCAGAGTGAGGACAGGACCCATGGGCCCAGAGTAGCCTCCTCTCTCAAGCCTACTTGGGAAATTCCCTCGGAGCAGAGGCCTGGGAGCTGGGACACAGGCTAAGTGGAAGAGAAGCCAATGTACGCAGAGGATAGGACTTCTCTCTCTCCTGTAGAGAGAGAACTGAGCCAGGAGACAGAAACGGCAGTGGGGAGCCAGAAGACAGAAAGGGCAGTAGGGGCTCAGGGGCTCTCAGAGTGCAAGTAGTAAGTGAGTGACTGAGGGTCTCACCAGAGGCAGACACTGGCTTGGCGGTAGAGACTGCACCCCAGGCATCAGAAGTTGCCCTCCCACCACTGGGGGCAGGCTGTTGTGAAGCTGCCCAGGGGTCTGAGCTCTTAGGGACAGATTGTGTGCTGGCTCCGGGAGGCACGCCCCATGGGTCAACAGAGGCAGCTGGCTTGGCACCTGTAGGAAGGCGGGGTCGGACTCAGAAACGCCCTCGGAAGTTCTGGTTGCTGGGGTGAGAAGGGAAAGGAAGCTGTGGGCCACACCAGGGTCTGCCAGGTGAGGCAGCCACCCAAAGGACTGTCCTATGCCACCAACTGCCCTGAGAATGAAGAGGCAGGGAATGCCTGGCTGGGCCAGGCTGGAGCAGAGAGGGGACAGCTGAGAGCAGCCCCTCTAAGCTCCCATCACACAAGTCACCTGCAAAGGGGCTCCCTGAGTTCACCCCACTTCCATGGGCAACCTGAAACAAGCCCATTGCCATGGAACCCAGGCCTGGCCCTCTAAAGGCCCAAGAGGTACTCTCTCCCTACCTGCTTTAAGTGGTTTCTGCTTTCTGATAGTGCAAATAATATGGACAAGGCCTGTATAAAAATGGAATAATAAAGAATCACGTACTTACCACCCAGCTTAAGCAATGAAACTTGTTTCAAGCTGACAAATCAACTTTTTTTTTTTTTTTTTTAAGTACACAATAGAAAGTACTTAAATGGATGTTTGGAAAAGGGAAATGGCCCAGCAGCTTGCTCTGCCCACTCCATGAGGCTGCAGTACCTCCAGGAACTGTGCACGTTATAAAAAAAGACAGTTCTCGAGGGCTCCTAACGGTAACTTCAATCCTGCTATGTACACCCAGACATTATGCACAGGACACGCAGACACGGATGCATACACATAAAACATGCATCTCCTTTCTTCTGGGAACACACCACAGCAAATGCTCAAACACCACTGCCTCCTCCTAGGGACCAGAAGGTGCCGCCCCAATGCCCCTCCCCACTGTGAGCTGTGTCCCAGCCGTTCTCTTGCCTCTCCCTGTAGCTTACCAAGCAGGGATAACTTTAAACAACATACTGGGCTCAGAGCCTGTAGCACAGTGGTTACAGCACCAGCCATACACACTGAGGGTGGTGAGTTCAAACCCAGCCCGGGCCAGCTAAACAATAATGACGACTGCAACAAAAAATAGCCGGGCGTTGGGGCGGGTGCCTATAGTCCCAGCTATTTGGGAGGCTGAGGCAAGAGAATCACTTAAGCCCAAGAATTTGAGGTTGCTGTGAGCAGTGACACTACAGGACTCTACCGAGGGTGACACAGTGAGACTGTCTCAAAAAACAATTAGGCTCG